GCTGGTTTGCCCTGAAGGGTGTCCAGGATCAGGGTGGGTGTCCTGCTTGGGTGCCTGGCCAGCCTGGATGAGGGACTGATGGCTGTTTTCAGGCTGGCCAGTGACTGAAGCTCCCAGTCTCTCCTTTTTTTCTTTTTTTTTTAATTCTGGGATTTATTTACCTTCTATAATTGAAACTTTGTTGCCGTCACTGGAGCTGAGAGCTGGCTCCTGCTCGCTCCAGCTCAGAGGCCATGGCTGGCTGAAAGCAGGTATCTGGGGTTTATTTACCTTCTATAATTGAAACTTTGTTGCTTTCAGTGGAGCTCACAGCCAGGTCGCGGCAGGCTGGGAACCTTGGCTTCCTCCATCACTGGAGCAAGCAAGCCTCCTGCTCCCTTCAGCTGTGTGGCTGCCGGCCGCCATCTTTGTTGGGTTAATTTGCATATCATGCTGATTAGCCAGTGGGAGGCATAGTGAAGGTATGGTCAATTACCATGTTTGTCTATTATTAGATAGGATGTGAAAAAGGCAACATTAGCATTAATATCCCCATTTTGGAGATGAGGAAACTGAGGCTCAGAGAAGTTCTGTTACTGACAGAAACTCATATAGGTAAAGTGGCAGAACCATCCTCTGAACCTGGATCCTCTGGCTCCAAGCTTAGTGTTCTTTCTACCATCACAAGTGAGACAACTAGATGTTGGAGATGTAAATGGGAAATTCCTTCTTAAGGTTAGAAGTCTTTTTCTGCTTTCTGTGTACATGATTTCATTTTTATGTGTTATTTATCTGCCAGTAAAACTAATATGAGGATCAATAAATGTCCCTAATACCAATCTCTTTTTACATAGCACACTGCAGCAGTTATAAACTCAGGTACTATTATTTAAGTTAGCCAAGATACTTAAAGATTATACAAAGAGGTCAATTTTATCTTATTATTATTGCTAGTGTGTCATTTTAACTCAAACAGGCTAATTTAGGAAAAGAAAGTAATTTCAAAGGCAAGCCACAATGGTATAGAAAAACCTTTGCCAGCTGGCTATAAAGCTCTGGAAATTAATGAAATCATCACCTCTTAAAATATTCTCTCAAGCTGCATTGTCAGGAACTTATTCTTTCTAAATTTAGCTGTTGGCAAACAGTCACTCTTAAATCTAATAAAATTTAGTCATGTTTTCCATACATTTTAGAGTGTGTCTTTTTACTCAATAAAATTGTAATCTAAACAACTGTTACTTTGTGGCATAAATGAATCAAGATGAGCAGTACTGGAGAATTAGAAAGGAAACTGCACAGAGTCAGCCTCCAAATGTTTGAAGTGAGAGTTTAGCCTAGGTTGGAGGAAAAGAGGGTCATATTTCAGCCCTCTATTCACGTACTGCAAGTCTTTGAGTTTCCAAGTAGGACAATGAGAAATGTCACAAAAATCCAGGCAGAAGGAGGCTGCATAGAACATCAGTCCTCAGCAAGATCTTCCTGAAGGCCAACTTTTGGTGCATAAAATAGTTATGATCATCATAATGTTTGGGGCATAAACTGTGTTCGATTTGCATAAAATTTACATAAACCTACCTAAATGATTCCAACTTCCACAGAAAAAATATATGGGCATCTTCGTACATTATCTTAAACCTCATATACCTTAAAAATGAAGGAGGGCTTAGGAAAACTTGCTTGTAAAAGTGTCTGAAGAATGTTATTGCAAAGTTTGATAGTAAAAGCTTGATTAAAGAATAACTGGGTTAAAAGGAATCTGGTTAATTTTATTTCAAGCAAAATATTTTTTTTTAAATCATTATTGTTGAAAATGCACCTAAAATATGTTCTTCCCCACCCCCCTTTAATTAGTTCAGCATGTGGTATAGAATAGTATTAGGGGAGACAGAGTCATTTAGAGGAAAGTTCAGATGGGCTCTGATACCAAGCCTGACATTGGCTGACCTTGAGCTATGATGCAAATACTTGAAATTCTTTCATTTCCTATTTTCTCAGCTGAAGAACACAAGATTGGGGGGGGGGGGTTGCTTCTCCATCCCAACTGTACAGAAGGTCACCTATATGCTTTGATAAAAAATGACAATCACCAAACCTCCCCTGAGATCCTGATCTGAAGATAAAGAGAGAAGCCAGCACCATATTTTGATCAGCAGCATAGATGATTCCAGCACAGTTGGCCAGGGCACTCAAGTTAGAAATTGCTGGACTAGAGTCCAGCCGGTGTGCTCAGTGGTTGAGTGTTAACCTATGACCCAGGAGGTCGCTGTTCAATTCCTGGTCAGGGTATATGCCCGGGTCATGGGCTCCATCCCCAGTAGGGGGTGTGCAGGAGACAGCCGATCAATGATTCTTTCTCATCTTTGATATTTCCATCTCTCTCTCTCCCTCTCCCTTTCTCTGAAATCAATAAAAATATATTTTAAAAAAATTTAAAGAAATTGCTGGACTAGAAAAAAATCTAAAGGTCCATGACACCAGCTTATATCTGCTTAACTCTTCAATGTGTAAGCATCCTGAAACTCCATAACCTCTGTGAGAAGATCAAGTGCTTGAAGAATTTAAGGTCTTAAAACCAGCACTGGATCAGGACTCAAGGGTTGGGATCGTGATGTCTTTCCTCACTGGATTCATTACATTTGCCTTTCATTGTAAGCTCTCCACATACCTGTAAAGCAAAGGCTAATTCATTTCAAAGGTCTGTCTTAAGTTTAAAGCTCTACAAAGAACTTGACATAAATCTAAGCTGTGTGACTCAGACACATTTGGAAAGTTGGTGAGGAAAGCATGTTTCCTTGTAAAATGCCTCCTCTTAAAAGACATTTCACAGAGACAATCTTTGTTTAATTGACGTGGACCTCTTGAATGGAGATTTCAACACATATTAAATCAGATTCAAACCTAGTTCTAGCCCTTCCCCAAACAGCTCATATTTCTATTTTAAAATATAAACTTGGTGCAAAATAAAAGGAAGAAAATCATGTTTAAATGTTTTAACTCAAAAAGCTAATTATTACGTAACATCTCTATTCAAGCTATGAATACAATGTTGTGCAAAATATTTGCAATAAGGCATAAGTCTGGATGAATTTTTTTTCTGCTTTGGGGCTTGCAGAGAGAACTGTCTGCAGTATATGTGAAACCTCTGTAAATCTGTTTGCAGTGGTCAATGTTCTAGAGGCAGTGGAAAAATAGGTTTTCTGATAGGGCATCAGTTTTGCAATGAGCACAATGAAATATGTCACTTTCAAGTTGAGTCCATTTTTGAAATTCCAGGCAAAGCCATCACCGCTCCTGTCATGGAAGCTGGATAATTGGGATTCGTTGCACAACCTACATTCTCTAAAAGGTGATTGACGTCCCTGCAGTTTGTGCTGTGTGAAACTGGTCATATTGTCAAAACCTGAGCAAACACAGTCTTCTCAAAAGATTAACTGAAATTCAGTTGAACACAAAGCTATGGTGGGGTTTTTTTAAATACATATTTTAATATATAGTTTTTAGAGTGATGATTAGAATAAAGTAGTTTATCTCAATTGGCACTGTCGAATATGGTAGCCACTAACCACATGTGGCTATTGAGCACTTGAAATGTGATTAATCCAAATTGAGGTATGCTCTGAGTTTAAAATGTGCACCAGCCCTCTAAGACTGAGTTAAAAAAAAGAATACAAAATATCCAACTCATCAAATTTTTTATATTAATTATATGTAGAAGAAATAATAGTTTGGATATATCAGGTTAAATAAAATATAGTAGCAAAGTTAATCTCACCTATTTTTAAAAAATATATATTTTATTGATTTTTTACAGAGAGGAAGGGAGAGGGATAGAGAGATAGAAACATCAATGAGAGAGAAACATCAATCAGCTGCCTTCTGCACACCCTCCACTGGGGATATGCCTGCAACCAAGGTACATGCCCTTGACTGGAATTGAACCTGGGACCCTTCAGTCCGCAGGCCGACGCTCTATCCACTGAGCCAAACCAGCTAGGGCAATCTCACATATTTTAACTTTTTTTAATGTGACTACTATTGGAACATTTAAATTACATACATGGCTCTTATTACATTCATATTGGACAGCATTTCTTCAATAAAAGATAAGAGGGTGTGCCTTTTCAAAAACATTTTCACTGATACTATTTGAAGCTCATTAGAGCTTATTATTATACCTACAGCATGTGAGTTCCAGATAGTTATGCCGTTCCATACTAGTGTATCTGACACTAGACTGTAATGATGCCTCTACATTAGAAAATTGTAACTTCAGAATAATTTTAATTTATACATAAAAGGATTTTGCCATATGAAAGTAGATTAAAATGTCTTAAAATTGTTAAATATCTTTAAAAAATAATTTAGTTCAGTCCCACCTTTGTAGAAGCAGAGAGTTGTAGTAATCTTGATATCACTGAGGAGCAAAGCCACTGATGACACAGATCTCTGAGTCCCAAACCACAATAGTTCTATTATGTCAATGCTATTTAAATTTGACTGTGTTTCAGAGTCAGAATGAAATTATTTTGTGCTTCCCCTGCCCCCCCCACCACACACAAGAATAGTCTTATTTTTTAAAAAAACAAACCCTTCAACTCAAAAGCTATGTTTTTAAAAATTGCCATAATTGAGGCCACACTCATTAAGACAAAGTGATTAAGAATATATTATTGGCCTCCTTTCCCTATAAATCTAGTTTTACCTTAAAGGGTTTTGTAAAACATAAACTGACAAACTCACCAAGAGGTCAGTCAGTACCTAGGATAGGATCTGTCTATACAGAAGTACACAGTAGGGATGCGAAATAAACCAGCTTGACTCAAAGAGAACCTTAAAGCCTGCAACAAAGATGGACCTCCACCTTCCAGCATGTGAAACAAAAGACAACGATAGCCCTGGAGAGATCAAGTCATCTAAACAGAGGGAAGAAGGACCTTGACCAAACTTGGTGAAGATCGTTTTAAAAACCTCATTAATTTAATATATTTGACACAAAGAAAGGATAAAGGAAAACTTACTTCTTGGCTTGATAGGGGGAGAACACAGTCCCTTTGCTGAGGCTCTTGGGATACTAACTTGGGCCCTTTGGAGAACACGTCACCTCTTCAGGGCAGAGTCCACTGAGGAGTCACACCAGCCATCCCTGTAAAATGAAGGATCCAGATCTTTCACTGTTTTGTGTTTTGTTTTATTTTTTAAATACATTTTTATTGATTTTAGAGAGAAAGGATGAGGGAGAGAGAGGTAGAAACATCAATGATGAGAGAGAACCATCGATTGGCTGCCTCCTGCAGGCACTGGGGATCAAGCCCACAAGCCAGGCCATGTGCCCTGACCAGAAATCAAACTGTGACCTCCTGGTTCATAGTTCAACACTCAACCACTGAGCCACACTGGCCAGGATCACTGTTTTTCCTGTGTAGAAAGTAATAAAATAAAATAAGTAATTAATTGATATTCTATTTTGTGGAGGTTGGGAAAAAAGGGAAAATATATTACTTAGTCTTTTTGAGGTCATTTAATAGTCCTCCTAAATACTGCTTTAATTGAGTTGACCAGTTTTTGATCAAACAAATTCCATGAAATGTAATGTGTAAAATGCCTGCCACAGTACCTTCGTATGCTAAACCCCAAATGTTAATTCTATCTGAACCACTCAAAGCGATGCCAGTCTAACTATAAGGTCAGGATGATTAAGAACTAGAAAGGATCAAGCATCAATATTCCATTTTTTTTTTAAATTTTAATACTAGAGGCCTGGTGCATGAAATTCATGCACGGGAGGGGGGTCCCTCAGCCCGGTCTGCACCCTCTCCATTCCGGGCCCCTTTGGGAGACGTCTGACTGCCGGTTTAGGCCGGATCCTGCAGGGGTGTGACATTCTCACAAACCGGAATTGCTGGCTCTAAACCGCTCACCTGCCTGCCTGCCTGCCTGATCGCCCCTAACCACTCTGTCTGCCTGCCTGGTCAGCCCTAACTACCCTTCCCTGCTGGCTTGGTTGCCCCTAACTGCCCTCCCCCGCCAGCCTGGTCTCCCCTAACTGCCCTCCCCTGCCAGTCTGGTCGCCCCTATGCGCCTCTGCTTTGTCCGGAAGGACTTCCAGAAGGATGTCCGGAAGATGTCCAGTCTAATTAGCATAATACCCTTTTATTAGTATAGATTATCATTTTATTTTATTTTGACATTCCAATTGCAATGTATTTTCATTGTACGTAGCATGGGAAAAATAAAAAATGTATTAAAAATATAAAGAGTACAATAAAAATTCTTTTCTTTTTTTAATTTATTGAATATTTTAATCTCACAATCTCTTTTCCCTTTGCATTTGAATTTTCTCAAACACTATTTTATGCCACCCCAGTTTTTTTCTTAGTCTGTTCTCTTCACTAGGAAACCACTTAACTGGGCTAGAGAACACGCGGAGATCAGGGCAAGATGAAATACTGTTAATGTCATGGAAGCCTCCAGCACTTACATTAAAACTCAATGTTATCATTGCACCTAGAAGTGATTCTGGCTTGGAGAACCAACTCCCACTAATCAAACCATTAAGAGCCAGCAAGTCAATTATTGATCTGCAAAGAGAGAAAAAATATCTCCAAAAGACCAGAAAGTTTGCACCAACTAGTCAGATATTCTTCTCCTGTAAAACATCATGGGAAGCTAAATTATGATCAGTAATTTGCTTGAGGTAGATGGTCTTGAGAAGTGTCATCGAACTATAAAGACTAGGGAGTCCTGGAGATGTTCTGACAAATGGTACTTCTTGACACTTTTGAAAAATTATTCCTGGCTAACCATCTCCCTTCTTTGGATATTGTCTTCCTATAAAAGTGTATCATAAAATTGGTTAAATTCAAATTGCTACATCACAATCCTATTCCAGTTCTGCTTCTCTCCGAGTCTCCTGAATGGGAGTTTTACATGTTATCAGGACTTTGCAGATACCTACATTTACAGGTATCTCCTGGTTTACCCATAGAGAGTGCTAATCTAATCTGTTACATGTAGATTTTTCCAGACTAACTCATTGAAGGTGATATTTCCAACTTCTTTGTGGACACCTTACAATTGTACCCTGCATTGATTGTATAGGGCTACCTGTATACTCTTCCTAGTAATAGAAGTGTTGAACTTCCTTCTAAATAATTCAGGATATGTCGAAAGCATTTTCCATGGGGAATTTTGACATACATGACTCAGTCACTTCAGAGAATACAGCATCATCTTTTAAAAAGTCCAGAACTAGACAACTGAAAACTTAATTTGGGTGGCAAATACTTCTTTGTTTTAATTATTTCCCAACTTTCCAAAGCAAATGGGCCTCATACTATTTCCCTAAGCCAAGTAAACATCATGAAGTGGGACTTTGGCAAAGCTTGGATTTATTAAGGGATGTTTTCACTGAAAACTACAAATATAAAAACAATCTTTATGTTTCATTTGCCTCTACCCTACGGATAGATCTATTTACTTCGAATTTTAGTGTAGATTCTGGGTTGTGTATACTACTTTATGCTACAGGAACATCCGGACTCACATAGCTATAAAGTTTGTATAAGCAATTCAAAGCACATTTTTCTAAACCAAAGTCACTACACAATAGTCATTAACTATAGTTCTTAGGAAAAGTGTGGATTATAATTTTTTATAAATATGCCATTTTGTTAGGTGCTACATTTTTCCCCTGACTGTCCATATTTTCTAATCACTCAGTACAGTTGAACTACAGTTTTAATAAAAGAAAACAATATACAAAAATCCTAACTAAAGCAGGAGACAAAGAAGATGAAAACTACCCTTTCTTTGTATTACCAAACTCCCTACTTGGGGAGCATCTTTTTATTTTGCCCACAATGGCTACATTTCTAAAGTCGCTTCCCAAACTGGAACTACCACATCTCATCTTCCGTGAAGTTATAAACCAGAAGCAGGTGATGCGCATGGGCAGGTGTGGTGGCTGAGGTGGGGCTGTGGGAGTGGGTGATGGGTCAGCACATGGACTCTCCACTCCTTCGAACTTCTGAGAAATCCCAAGTAAGTTGTAGTTGAAAACATGAGAGTAATTTCAAAAGTAAATGAAATCAGCTAAATAAATTATGAAATATAAGTTATCACTATTAACCTTGAGGAATTATTTTAAAACACACCAGTTGGTGTTGGTGTTGGTTTTGTCTTGTTGTTGTTGTTTTGACATATAAAAAGAAATAAGAAAACTATGTTCACATTGGCACACAGCATCAGATAATAACACAGTGATTCTTTCCCCTCCCCACCATCATGACGTGATTATGTTTATACTTTCCAACTTTGCATCACTTGAGAAACAAATCTCATCATTTTTATTATAATTTTGGATAATTGATTGTGAAATTTTTGTCTTAGTGCCTATGATTCTTGGAAAATAATGTCAAAACCAAAGTATTTCTCTCCCATTCCAACAGTCTCAATCCATTTTCATTTCTTTCCCACACATATCTCCCCTTCCTTCTCTCACACTTCAGCATCTTCCTTCAGCAAGTCCAGAATTTCCAGAAGAGACTGGCAAAGATGATCTAAGTCCTGCATTAAAAAAAATAAAATAAAACAGCCCTCCCATGATGAAGGGCAGATCCAGGCTGTGGTGAGTGATACATTTGCTTGCTGCAGCCCCACCCATTTTAATGGACTATCAATCAGCTCTCTGTAATTTTTTATACCCTACTACATGACCCCCATTAAGATCCTCTCTGACTTAGTCCTCATCTTGGCACTGTGCCTCAGGGAGACACTGCAGCCCTGCTTACAACAGTTCTCCATCTGGTTCTGTAGGGAGAGTAACATCAGATATGTTAAGCAACCCAGCATGAGCTTTTACCACCCCACCAGGCATCCTGGTAATCCATAAACATTATCTGGGATACAGAAGGCAAAATTAGGAGAAAATATTGAATTTGGGAAAGAACATAAGATAAAAGCATTAGAAAAAGAATTAAAACAATAACAATATTGGGTAACAATCAAAAAACATAAAGAAGGGAGATAGTTTTGCCCCCCTAACTAATACATTAAAATGTGTTGTTTCAAGTACTCAAACTAGATGCATGATTTGGCTTTCTTTCCCTTAGCTCCAGCAACAGCTAGAAATACGGAGCTGACAGTTTTTACTTCATAAATTGAGTTCCCTGATCCAATTTTTATTACAAGGAAAAAAACAAAACAAAACAAAACAAAAAACAACTTAAAGATCTTCCCTCAAATGAGATTATCTTTCCCTCTGGGTTTTCATCGATTTATAATTGCATCGATATTTCATATATTTGCTAGAACACCATGTTCTAATGCTTAGTCTGGCACAGGCTTTCCTTTGTGTATGACAGGATGTCCACCAAATCTTCCTTTTGTGGAGAGAACTGTGGTTCTGAGAAAATCCATCGGTGTCCAGCTGCCAGGGAGACAGGAGATGGAGACGTGAAAATGGGTGGCCACTGGGACAGGACTTTCTCTAACACCTGAAATGAAGCCACAAGTCTGCACATTGTGGAGTTTAAGCGGTTATGTAACACATTGGGAGTTAATTATTCAGTCTTTCTCTTTAGCCCACATTCCCTTTAGGTTAGCTGCTCCTGGGAGCTGAGTGTTGTCATTTCACTGAATTGCAGCCTCATTGACGATGGCTTTTTGTCTGAAAGGGATTGGCCTTTCAGAGAAACCGTATCTGTTAAAGTTTCTAAATAACAAGTCCTTGGCTGCCCGTGATTCACATTGCTTTGCCATTGATTTTAGACAGTGGTCGATGACACATTGAGGCAAAGACAGGTCTTCTCTTTCAGGTACGCCCTGTCAAAAGCCTGCCTCCCCGCTAGTTACAGTGGGTGTTCCATTGTAAGGCTGCTGCTGGCTGCCTTTTGCCTCATCCCTGCCTGAAAATCATATCATCTTCTCAAAAGTCAATGAAAGGTCCCAAGCTGCTAAGGCAGCTAAACAAATCTGCTAACAATGACAGCCTTGCTGGGGAGGAATGCAGGAGAAATGAACCCTGGATGCCTCAGAAAGCATTCTGGGGAACAGTGCATCCCACCAAAGCCACGCTCTAAAATTCCACCTAATGTGAGGCTGGACAGGCCATGCTTTGTGACTAGGGTCAATGGCTCAAGTGTA